TAAGTGCCTACTAAGTGTCAGGCATTATACTAAGCACTTTATAAATATCTCATTTGCCCCTAAAAACAACCTTGGTGAGTAGGTGCTTTTATTATCCCCATTTAACAGGTCAGAAAGTGGAGGCAGACTGAGGCTAAATGATTTGCCCAGGGTCACATAGCTAGTAAGTGTCTGAAGCTGGATCTTCTTGATTCCAGGCCCAGTGTTCTATCCATTGTGCCACCTAGTTGAGTAAAAAATTTCCACTTAAGTCTGTATAGACAATGGGGAATCAGTGAAGGTTTTTGCTCAAGGGAGTAACATGATAACAGTTGTGATTTAGAAAGATATATGCAATTTCAGCATATGTATGAACCTAAATACCTCTAGCAGAAATGACACAGAGGTCAATGAGAGCAGCCATAGAGGTGGAACCATTAGGATTTGTGGTCACCGATTGGGGCTGAAGGATAATGGAGAAGGAAATATCGAAAATCAATCAACAAGCACTTGTGAAATGCCCTCCATCTTCCAAGTATTGGGCAGATACAAAGACAAAAAAAAAAAAAAGAAAAATCCCTGCCCTAAGCAGACTTAGAGTCTATTGAAGGAGACAGTGTATGCCTCAAGAAGTAAAAACAAGGTAATTTTGGAGGAGATAGTACTAGCAGTGGGCTCTGGAAATGCTCCATGTAAAAGATAGTACAGGAACTGAAGTCTGAAGGAGGTTAGGCATTCTGGGAGGCAGAGCTGAGACTGGAGGATATTCCAGGCATTGAAGAAAACCAAGCAAAGATGCAGATGTGAGAGAGAAAGTACAGGATGTTAGGAATAACAAGAAGGCCAATTTATCTGATCTGTAGAGTATGTAAGATGTTGCTATATATGATAAATCTGGAAAGGTAACTTGAATCGAGGTTGTTAAAAGCTTTGAAAACCAAACAGAGGACTTTGTATTTGACTTTAGAGCTCATAGGGAACCACCAGAGTTTGAGTAAGGCAGTGAGAAAGGCAGACTTGCGTTTTAGGAATATTTAGAAGCAAGGGTGGGGAACCTGTGGCCCTGAGGCAACATGTGTCCTTCTAGGCCCTTGGGTGCAGCCTTTTGACTGAGTCTAAGGTTTACAGAACAAATCCTTTTATTAAAGGGATTTGTTCTGTGAGGTTGGATTCAGTCAAAGGGCCACACTTGAGGACCTAGAGGGCCACATGTAGCCTTAAGGCTGCAGGTTCCCCACCCTTGATAGGCTATTGTAGGAGTCTGGATGGGAAGTGATGAGAACCTGGACTAGGGTGGTAACCATGTGAGAGAACAGGATGCATATGACAAATGTTGTCGAGGTAGAATCATAAAGATTTAGTAACTGACCTTGATATGTAGGGTGAGGAGGGTGATTCTAATATTTCATATGTGGGTGACTGGAAAAGTAGCAGTATCCTCAACAGAAATAGGAAACTTTGTAAGGGATGGATTATGGGGAAAAGGTAATAGAATTCTTGTTCGGACATGTTGAATTTGAATTCCCTATAGCATATCCAGTTCAAAATGCCCATTAAGCAATTGGTGATTAGTGAATAGCACTCAAGAGAAGGCCAAGGCTGGATATAGAAATCAGAAAGTCATCTGCATGAAGATGATAATGAAATATATGAGTTTCATAATGAAACTGATGAGTGTACCAAGTGAAAGAATATGGAAAGAAAATGGTAGTGGGCATAAGACAGTGCCTTGGGGGTATACTTATCCATCATATGAATAATAATCTCACAGAGGAGACTAAGGAGGAGTAGTCAGCTAGGTAGAAGGATAACTAAAAGAGAGCTGTATCACAAAAACCCAAAGAATTGTGGATGCTACAGATCTGAAATGTTGCATGAACTTTCAGATGAGGTTACTGTATTTATTATCAGTTTTATTTAACTTTCACTTTGTTATAAGAGATCTCTCATAAGAGGAGGAGTAATCTGAAAATGTTCATAATATAAAGAAGATGAAGGTAAAGGATGTAAATGTAACAAAGAATAAGAACTGAGAAAAGCTTATCAAATTTGGCACCTAACAGATCAATAAGTTTGGAGAGATGACCTTGAAGTTTGGAACCAGGGCGATTAGGAGAAGGATGGTACCATTTATAGAAACTGGGAAATCAGAAATAGTAGGTTTTGGGGGGCAGGAGTAGTGACAGCTGATTTAATGTATTAGTTTGTGGACTTTTGGAGTGTTAGGTGCTGGTAAGATATATAGATAGAGAAGGTCAACAGCTAACTGGAAACTCAAAATTAAAGTTTAGAATAGGGATCATGATCAGAATTGTATTTGGGAGAATTATCCAGATAGAAATGATCATTTAAATTGTATGGTGGTGGTATATAAGATTGTAAAATGGGAGATTTGTATAGAGAGGAAGGAAGGATGAGGATAGTACCTTGAGTTATGCCAGTGTTTAGGGAATAAGAGGAAAAAGCCAAGCCATTGAATGTAACATAGGCAGAATTGCTAGCATATGGGGAGTGCCAGAAGAGTATAATGTCAAGTATGAGCAAATGCTACAATGTTGCAAGGAATATGCCAACTGAGAAAAGGTCATTGGATTTGACAATTGGGATGTCATCAACCTTGAAGAAAGCTGCTCTGGGGCTTTCACAGGCAAAAATCAGACTGTGAAAGATTAGAAGGGAGTGGGAGGGAGGAAATGAAAGTAGTGAATGTAATAATCTATGGGTTGAAGTAAAGAAATCATATAGTATAGTCACTTGAGGAAGCAAGAGACTCCCTCTCCTTCAGGTGAGGAAAGTTAGAGATAATTAAATAGACTCCAAGGAATAAGGGAAGATGCCAGTGGAGCACAAGAGATTGATAATGAAAGACAGAATAGGCATAATTGATGGAACAGGACAAGGGGGGATTTATTTTTATAGAGTCACAGAATTTCAGAGCGGGAAGGGACCTCAGAGACCAGCCTCTACCTCCACAGGAATATCCTCTGTACCATCCTTAACAAATTGCCACACAGTCTCTGCTTGTGTAGCATCAGTGAGGAGGAACCAAATACCTCCCAAGGAGTCTAAATATTAATAACTGACATTTATATAGATCTTAAAGTTTTCAAAGTGTTTTACCTCCATTATCACATTTGATACTTTTGAACAGCTTCAGTGGCTGGGACATTTTTCCTTGTAGCAAGCTTAAGTCTCCTTCAGCTGATCCGCATATGGCAGCTCCCTGAACATCCTGCATTTTTTATGTTCTTGAGCTTTTGAGGGCATTCCTGAAATGTGATCCTTCAAACTGAATATCATCCTCCAAATATCTTCTGAACTGAGGTCAGTGAGGTAGTAAAGTGGGACTCTGTGCAGTAAATAAGCATTTATTAAGCACTGTGTGCCAAGGACTGGCAGTGCTAAGTGCTAGAGATACAAAGAAAAAGCAAAAACAGTTCCTGGCCTCAGGAAGCTAACATTGCCACCATATTTTGGACACTATACCTCTAGTAACATAGCATAAGATTGCATTCACCTTTTTGGGGTCTGCCATGATATCCTATTGATTTGTATTGAGCTTGATGTCCATTAAAACTCCTAAATATCCTAAATACTCTTCTAGACACATCTCCCCCATATTGCATTTTCTGCACATGACTTTTTGAACCTAAGTGTAAGAACTGCATTCTAGACTTTTGAGATCTTTTTGGATCCTCACTCATCATCCAAGTTTTCTCTCCTAGCATTGTTTCCTCTTCAAATTTGATAAGTATTCCATTTATTCTTTCATCTAAGTCATTGATAAACATATTAAACAGAACAGGATTAAGCACAAATTCTGGGATATGCCTCTAAAGAAATTTCTCCAATTTAATATTGAATTGTTAATGGCTTTAATGACTGCCAAAATGGGTGGGTCCAGTTATTCAATCGGTCCCAAACCTACTTCTCTGTTCCATGATTTAGCTCATATCCCTACATCTCACTCATAAGGCTAGCATTAGAAACATTGTCAAAAATTTCTGAAATCTAACTATACTACATCTGTGGCAATAGCTATAATGAGAAATGTGCCCAAGGAAAAAAAGATTTGATAGGTAGAGATGACAAAAGAAAGGTGGGGTAGAGGAGAAGCATACTTCAGCCTACCATTTGGTAGCTTCCTATTTAAGCTAATTATCCTTTTAAAATAGCTGCTAAGTTCTTTTCTTTCTATGGTGCTGAAAAACTGTATGCACTATCAGAACTCTCTAAATTTTGTACCCTGAGACAAAGTCCAATTGCCCCATTCTAGGTACAGCTCTGTCTACAGTATGTCTCTAACCCACTTGTCTTGTAACATATTAAAAAAAGGAACTGAGATTAATGTGATGTGATCTACTCTTGATGGAGCCATGCTACTTTTGTAGTGAATCTACGTTAATTAATAAAGTTTTCCTCATATTATTTGCCCTGAATTAGTTCCTTCTTAGAGGACCACTGATCAAACATGGTTTTAAGAAAATTACTACAAATAAAATATATTATGTCAATAACTGGCTTAATTATTCACTGTAGCAGTGGCTATCTGGCCTATGCAGACTATATAAACTGATGAAAAACCTTGTGATAAATTGCACCAATTATTATTGTGTTGTAGTTATTAAGGAAACAGCAGGTCTTTGCCACATTAATTTGTATTTGCATAATGATACAGTAAGTATTACTGTAGGTATAGTATTAGAAACATGGGGTTAGGGATATGATTTTCACCTCCCAAAAAGACTGGAAGCATAACAGGAGCTAAGGTATAGTTATATAATAGCACTGGCAAAGGGTAGCCTTGGGTATCGGAGAAAAATGAGGCTTCTGGCTAAAGATTTTTGCTGAACAAACATGGAAGCTTTGGGTGAGACTTGTGAATGGGTAAAAGAAGACCAAGGGTAACAGTTTTAGTTTTAAAAAATTGAAAGCCTTAAAACACTTGAAAGTAATGATGAAATTGGAATTAATATGTGATCCTCTTTCTCCCGCTTCCCCACCTTCCCCTTTGTCTGCAGGGATTTGCGATTTAACAGAATACGAGAACTTCCATCTGGCTCCTTTAAGAAACTCAAGAATTTGAACACCCTGTAAGTATTAATGGCTTATTAGTAGAATTTTAAGTGTGGACAGTATTTATTAGACATATATAGGTACACTGATATCAGTTTATCTGATTACATATTTGTATATTATGTAAGATTTGCTATCATTTCCTATAAGGGATCCTTGATTCCGTAAATAAGAGGAAAGTATATTTTGAGAAAGGAAAACCTCATTCGAGGTTAAAAAGGACCATTTCAGTTCTAGGTTTCAGCTTTCTATGGGAAATGAATCTTGCCAATATTGAAAAACAAAGTAAATACAGTCTAATAGGAGAGATGGGGTGAGACATTTGCAGTAGGATTAGTTAGCAAAATTCTGCCCTTTGCCTCCTACCCATTTTCTCCAGCCTTTTGTTTCTGGATATAGAATAGTTAGAATAGAGTCCAATTTTCTCAGGAGGTATATTTCTGAGTCATCAGGCAGAGGTAAGACCTGTATGAGAGGATGCAAGACAGCAAGCATGATAGGAAACCACTTTTTTTTTTCTCATTCACCAGATAGTTGATCTCCTCCTCACTACATTTAGGGCTCTGGAAACTACAAAATGGAAAACAGAAATTGCATGAAACTGGAAGGAGCAGGAGGTAGAGTTGGAGTAAAGAAACTTCACATCATTTTCATCTGTTGCCCCACTACCTGATCTTGTCCCACCCCCAGATTTGGGATTTTAAAGTTTCTATTACTTTATGTTATATACCCTGACTGGAAATTGGGTAGTTAATGAGATAGCATGTGGCAAAGGTCTAGAGCCCTGGACTCTGAAAGCCAGTGTTTGCTCTTGCTTCCTAGTAATGAGGAGACTCATTGGGTCAACCTTCTGAACTACTGACTGTTTCAGTGTACTCCTTTACTTAGTCTTTGTTTCTTAGATACCTAGATAGCCCTTAAATGGAAAATATAGAGTACGAAGATTAATTGATCAATTCCTGAAGCTTATTTGTTTAATGATAAATGGTTTGTTTGTTTATAAACAATTTAGAAACTATTCTCTAATTCTTGGGGTAAATCCCAGGAAAATCCACTTTCTATTCCTTGCACGTCTTTGTTAGCCACCCTGCTCTAGGAGGAAGGGTTTTTTTTTTTTGGAGGGGCAGGGAAGGATTATGGAAGGAGGAAATAGAGTGAAAATGTTTCCTCTTCCAGGCTAGCAATAGTTGGCATCTTTAAGGTGTGGCCCATAGAACGCCTCAGTAGGCTTAACTCCAGGCAGGAAACAAAGAGGTGAGAGACCTAACTGAAATGAGTTTTAATCTGGCCCAACCTTTCATTTTATAGGGAAGCAAACTAAGGTGAAATAACTATAAATATAGATAGAACTTACCTAGAAATCACTGAATGATTGTAGTCTTTGCATTATAGCATGTGACCTTTCCATCCTGAGTTATGGTCCCAGCTAGGCTGTATGACTTTCTGTTATCTTATGCTCTCATGGCCTCAGTTTCCTCTTTTGAAAATAAAGATCAGTTAAATGATTTCAAATGACCCTTACATCATTAACCTTATAGGATTATAAATTCTGTTAGGGTTCTCTTTAACTCTTATCTCCATTATTGGAGCAGGGAAACTTCTCTCTGAAATCAAAAGACAAAGAAAAAAATAGCTCACACAGAAAACGGGTTTTTACCCTGAGTCTCTTAACTTTTTTCTTTTTTAATATTATGACAGCTCTATTTCAAAATAGTTGGTTCCCTTTGTAGCCCTATAAATTTTAATTTTATGCATTTAAAAATAGTATTTGAGAAGGGTCTCAGGGCCAAACTGCTAAAGGGGTCCATGACAGAGAACACATTAAGAAAGCTTGTCCTAAGTGGAAAATATATACATATGTGTGTGTGTGTGTGTGTGTGTGTGTATATATATATGTATGTATACATATATATGTATATATATACATATATATGTATATATATGTATACACACACACACACACACACACAATTTTCCAATTAAATTATCTTTGATGTTGCTTCCCCATTGTAATTATTTTGTATATCACTTGTTGTTGTTTGGTCATATCTGACTCTTCATGGACTCATTTGGGGTTTTCTTGGCAAAAGTGCTAGAGTGGTTTGTCATTTCCTTTTATAGCTCATTTTACAGATGAGGAAACTGAAGCAGACAGGCCTGAGTGATTTGCCCAGGGTCACACAGTTAGTAAGTGTCTGAGGCCAGACTTGAGCTCAGGTCTTCCTGACTCTAGGCCCTGCACTCTATTCACTGTGCCACCTAGCTGACCACTTGGATATCATACCAGTATAATAGCAAGGAAATATTATGACATGTCATCACAAATGAATGAAAAGTAATGATATAATTGGTTAAAAATGATTAACTTCACTTCTTGTTTCAAGGACCTATGACCTCCTTGACCTTCACAGACCCTTTCTGAATGTGAGTTGCAAATCCCTGTGCCTTAGTAGACAGCTGAATGAGGTACTGTAGCCTGAAAAAGTCTTGTATTAGCTGGTGGTCAGGTGAGGAACATCTCTCAACAGAGGTAGGGCTGAAACTATCAGATCTCCTGGTCTCTACTTAAGGCCTTTTTCAATTTGGTAAACACTTCCAGAGCTTATGATGCCCACATAACCCTCAGAACCCAAATGTTCATCTCCATGCCACAAAGAAGCATCAGAGTAGTGTTTTAGGAAATAGAAATTACTTAATCTTTGAAATAGTCATAGGAATTTGGAACCTGAAAAATAAATAAGAATTTATCATATTTTGGTTCAAGTAGACCAGCCATAGACTCTCCTCTCTTTCCCTTTAGCTCAAAGGCCCTCTTTTTATAGAATGAATCACATCAAAATATTGCCAGGGCACAGGAGTGAGGAAGCCTCTGTTGAGGGAATTGAAAACAATGATTATTGTTGAAAAGGAATACACTTTTGGGAGGTCAGAATGTGGGTTTCCTGAAAGAGTTTATGACACAATGAATAGGGGGGACTCTTGTGAATGACCTTGAAAATGGTCTATTTAGGTAATAATTATGGATGGTAATAAGAAACTGGCCTCATGCATACAACTACTTATAATATTCTTGATACATGTTTGGTGACTGTCAGAGCCTATTTTTTTCCCAAGGCAAAAGAATGATTTCTAAAGCATTCTCTCTCTTTCTCACCTTCTCCCTCTATTTACAAAATATTATATATAAGTTAATACTAGGGCAAAATTTCTAAAAATTAGGCAAGAATCAATAGGTAGCGTAAGTGGTCTTATCTCTTTGTTATTTTATTTCTTCAATATTTGGGTATTAGGTATTCAGGCAACATTGATTTTTTAAAAAATAAATACATTCTCAAAAAGTTTTCAGTAAAACAGATTTTTGTTAAGTTAATACAATTTTTTTTTCCTGCTGATTTGCATTATAGAACAAGTGATATGTTTTGATAGGAAAAAAGAACTGAGAAAACATAAAATCACAATTAATTCAGTAAGCCCTTTGAAATTATGTACCTAAAGGAAGGGCAGCTAGGTAGAATAGTGAATAGAGTGCAGGGCCAGTAGTCAGGAAGACCTGAGTTCAGATTTGGCCTCAGACACTTACTAGCTGTGGGACCCTGGGTAAGTCACTTACCTCTGCTTGCCTCAGTTTCCTCATCTGTAAAATGAGCTGGAGAAGGAAATGGCAAACCATTCCAATATCTCTGCCAAGAAAACCCCAAATGGGGGAAGAATGAGACAGGACTGAAAAATGACCAAACAACAACAAATCTAAAAGAAAATATGATTGTGTTGAAATATTAATAAAATACTCAAACTACTAATAATATCCCCTTCTATATTCAAAATAAGGCACTTGTTTTATTTCTTAAATTCAGAATTAAAAAAAAACTCTGTGAGGATAGGGACCATGAATTATCTAAATTTGGTATCTCTGGAAATGAATTTTAAGTGTATCCCATTTAATTAGACTACATGACTATTTTTGGGAGGGGTAGGTAATGGACCCTTAATCTCATAGACATAAGGAACTCCTTCCAGTGAGAAAATTCCTTCCATCAGAGCAGATCTGTACTTGCTTTGAACCTTCTTGTCTTAGTTGCCTGAGGCATTGAGAAGTAGAATGATTTACCCAGTGTCATTTAGCCAGTACAAGCCCAGCATGTAACAGTGCCAAGTACATGCCTTCCAATGTCTCTTCTGATGCTAAAGGCTCTATGACTTTTCGGTGTGAAAGTCATCATTGGTGGGATAGGTTCTTTTTAGTTATTATTTTTAGTAATAATAACAATTACTAGCATTTATACATAGCATTTTAAGGTTTGTAAAGCACTTCACTTTTGTTGTCTTGTGTGATCTTCACAACCCTATAAGATAGGTGCTATGTTGTGTAGTTGTTTTTAGTCATGGCCTATTCTTTGTGACCCATTATGGGACTTCCTTGGCAAAGATTCTGGAGTGGTTTGCCATTTCCTTCCCTAGCTTATCTTACAGATATGCAAACTGAGGCAAAAAGGCTTAGATGACTTGCCCAGGTTCACACAGCCGGTAAGTGTCTAAAGCCAGATTTGAACTTGGGAAAAGGAGTATTCCTGACTCCAGGCCTAGCACTCTGTCTACTTCACTATCTAGCTGCCCACAGGGACTATAATCTTGGGCTAATAGCTTCACATCTCTCGTTTTCTTATCTGTAAAATGGGAGGAGTTGGCTTACATCATCGCTAAATTTCTTCTAGGTCTAAAATGCTATGACCATTCATGTCAAACCTTATATCAAGATGATAAAGATGTGTTTCTATGGAAAATAAAGGTAATTTCCTTCTTCCTTTTGTTACATAGCAGGTGAAAGAAACAATGACTGAGGAAATAAAGGTTTGAGCTTCTGAGTATATCAATTTATTAAGCAATGCATGCCAATTGCCTAACAAAGTGAGACCAGACTCCTTCCTCTGCTTTGGGATGACCCCCAAATACAGGGGGGAGGCAGACTACATTAAAAGCAATTAATAAAAAGACCAGTTAATTAATAGGAAACAATACA